TTGATAAACTTATTTTGCTCCAGACTAGAGGAGCTGTTTCTAGCAGATGGTGAAACCTGTCACATGCACAACAAAATCTGACAGTAAATTTCCTTCCGGAGATAAGTTGTTTTTTTTTCTTTATATTAGACGGCATTTGCTACATCACCCCAGACAAATTATAAAAGTAAACGGGTAGAAATTGTCATCACTGTCAACTGATCAACAAATTTTTACTTGTCACAGCGAGGTAATTTAATAGGAAAGGGCACTTTTAAAATTGAAGCGATTGGTGTCTTTTCTAGTCAGAAAATGATTGACTCATTAGTTACAGATAGGAGTAGGCGACGATCACAGTCTAATCACGGAATCAGCCCTCCAAAGCAATCCTTTTTAACCTGATAGGGAATTAAATTTCATCATAACCCCTATGATGAACGGAATGGTGTAACAAACTATCATGAAACAAAATAAATTTCTTTACAAATGCACCGCAGATGCCTGCAACAACTTAAAAGAATTTTTGTTCCTAAGTTCTTGATTTTTGTACATATCCTTGTATCCAAGGGTTTGCAACACTTCAGAGTCAGTGTTCTTCCTCATTTCTTCCTGGATGGTTAATACCACGTAAGGAGGCTTCAAATATGCTGGCATTAACAATAGAGGCGAATCCAGACCAATCAGCATAATATTAAATAAGTGAGACTCTCAACACCTAACGATTTATCCTTGCGTTAGCTCAAGTAGTAGGCGAGTTCGTACACGTCGTTCTCCAAGCTCACCTCCATCTGTCTTTGCTGAAGATCTAGGTCCTGAAGTACCTATCATATAGATTGACTCCTTTGGAAACTTGACAATGTCCAAGCTCATTTGCGTATACAAAGATTCCTAACAACACGCCATTTAATGAGTATAAATGGAAAGAGAGACTGCCGAAGCTACTAGGAGGGTGGACTCAAAATGTATTAACAACAAATGGTAACAAAATATGAATAAATTCAAAATGTAGATTTCCCATAGGGAAGTTGTACTAACGGTAGAAGATATTAAAAATCAAATCTCAAAAACACATTACTTAACTTTATTTCTCACCTGTCTTGAATAATAAGATTCATAAATTTCTAGTCAGTTGTTAACGCTCCCAACAGCCTTGGCTTTGCCTTGCCTGAAAATTGTAAAGACAAGACAAATCATGCTTCCCATTGGCAAAATATTTTGAGATCTGGAGGGTGATATAATTTGAAGCCTGGATGGAGCTTTCTTGCAAGCTATTCATCTAACACATACTTAACCTTCCTTAACAAGATCATTTTATACTGACAGTATTATCAGTTTTCACAATACCGTGCAGCTATAATATTTTGTTATCCGTATAGTTTGATTTAAATGACGTTTTTCAGCACCTGGAGTCTTTTTTAAAGACAAAGAAAGGCACGTTACTAAGGTAGAATATGTGATGCTGACGTACAGAAAGGCTTTGGGGCCACTAGCATAGCTTGAAGGTCCGGTTACTCGGCGAGAATGCAAAGGCAAAGCCTTTTGTGGTCGCGAAGGCAAAAGAAGCATAAAATAGTCAAAGCGTCATAAAGGGTCTCTCTCTTATTAAGCGTTGTTTTCAGTGCACCTTTTTGTCGGTCCTGCGTGTTGGCCACTACAAAGTAGTTGGCACTAAGAATATACTCCCATGAACCAATTGTGCCAGTAATAGGATTTGCATACGATCAGGGAGATGCCTGACTGATCTTGCTTGACATTTCTAATAGATCTGTGGTTTTGTCCTGCTTTGAAACTATACTAAGGATAAATGAATATAATGCTGACGTACAGAAGGACTGGAGGCTGCCAGCATGGCTGGAATTTCAGGCACTTCATTTGGATTGTTAAAAACTAAGCCTTCTGTCCCCACGAGTTTAGAACAAATAATAGAATTAAGTTATTACAAAGATTTGCTTTGCATGGAATCCACGATGCTTCTCTTGATCAACTTTAAACGCGTCAACCATCACGGAGTAGTTGGTGCTACAGGAAGATACTCTAACCAATCATCAGTGCCAATAATCTAACCCACGCACAATCAAGAAGACATCCTGACTGTTTCCGCTAAATAATTTTAATAGATGTGTCCTGTATGGGAACTGTACTGGGGATAAAGGACTATGCAGGCTATCCCGTGTGCCCACCGCTAGTCTCGAGAAAGCTGGCCTAAAAGCAGTCATTTAGTAAAAAAAATAGGGATTAGAATAGCTTCGGTTGGATGAGGTTTTGCTCTCATTCCTCCTTGCTACGTTGTTCTCAACTTATTGCTGCCTAGCCTCATCTCTCTGGGTGTTACTCTGCTAGTAGAAAGGGGGAAGAGATGTTGTTTGTATACTTACTTGCCATCTTTTTAAGGACATCTTAGACAGCTTCTTAACGCACTTTCTAGATGCTTCATGACTAGGCTGGCTTCAGTTGTTGGTACCGTTCCTCCAATTTCTAATACCAAATGATTCCATAATCGGAGGGTCTTTTGTGATTTCCAAACGAGCGGCCTTTATTTTTAAATCATTCTACTGAAAGAAAAAGCAAACCCCCACCATTTATTTGATCTAGCGCACTGGTCACAAAATGGGCAATCCTTTCTTCCGGTCATGTTGCTATGTCCGCACGTAATAATATGGACTCAGAAGAAATGTAAAGAATTTGCAATAGCTTAATTTTGCTCAAAAAATTAATGTAGTGGCTTTTGAATAAGTGTTTTAAGTCTGTTTAAGCAGTGCTACAAACGTGGTAACGATGGGTGCGCCCAAAAATGGGACTCTTGTCGTATATCAGTGGTTTAGAACTTGTTAAATAGAGACCGTATTGTTGCATTTTTGCTATTTTGACTACAGAAAAGGCCTCTAAGTCGAGACACTAGAGGCAATTTCCAAGTCCTATGGTAAGAGGGTTGCTGTCTGCTGCTGTCTGGAATGCGGTTGGGGTGATGACTTCCTAACATACTGAGAAGTAACCAATCTAACTAGTGCCACTTAGCCTAGCAAACTTTGTGAAAATTACCCACCCCTTTTAAGCTACCTCATCCTCCAAGAAAAGTAATTTTAAAAAGTGATTTGACTCAACCCAGTGCTAAATATTTATAAAGTCTTTCCATGTTGGGTCAATTAACTAACTATTGAATATTTTTTCTTGGCCAACCTAAGGTAAATACAGATATAAAACCTTTTAAAGTTCCAGGTGGTTTAAATACTCTGAGGTAGGCTTCTTTTAAACTGTTAGCAAAATGCATACACCGGCAGATGCCTTTTGTACGTACTGCAATACCGGTGCCAACAATTACTGCCTGCGAGGTTTGAAAAAATCAAAAAAAAATCAAGGAGCACAAAGTAAGTGTTAAATAGGGAAGTGGGAGGCTAGAGAGACAAGAGAAAGTTGTCATCATGGAAAGTCTACTTAAAACAAATTTTAACATATCCGTATGACTCATTGTTAAATATTCACTACCATGTTCACTGAACTTT